AAGTGGTAAATTCCAAAAGATAAAATTGGTAAGCTAGTCTAGAAACTGGTAGAACATTGAGGAAGGCTAGATGGATCTCTCTTGAGTAATCTAAAATGTAATTAGCACTCTTTTGGTAACCAGTGGTTTTTTCTTCAAACACAAATAGATTCTTGTTTTTCCAAATTTTTCACAAAGCTACACCAAACACTAGAGGCAAAGAGAGGTCAGCATTAAAATGAGTTTTATTTTTAACATTACTCATGAGCCATTCCATCCAGCTTTTCCTTCTCATATCAAGATACCAAAGTCGGGTAAAAATAGCAAGCCAAACTGCTTTGGCCTTATAACAGTCTTTAAACAAATACTGAATGTCCTCAGTCATATTGCAATTGGGGCATTGAGCATCCTGAGTTAAACTTCTTTTCAGTTGCATTTGGTTAGTAAGCAATTTGCCATGTAACACAGTCTACAAGAAACCTTTAAGTTTCTATGATAATCTAAGTTTCCACAGCCAGTTCCAGTCATCTTCCTTATCATTACTTTCCAAAATACACTCATAGGCAGAAGATACAGTAAAAGTCCCATCAGGGGTCCCCTTCCATAAAGGGATATCCCTGTTTAGGTTTTTTGGAGGAGCAGATGCCAAGATTGTACTAGCCAGTTGGGGTGGGAAATTGTTATTCACAGTAGCCTCATCCCAATTACCATCCTCCCCTGGGAATCCTCTCACATTATCACAGTCTGTAGAATTGCTTTGGTAAGTAGGATTAGCACCTGAGACAGTATCCTCAAAGGACCTATCTTCACACCACCAATCCTTCCAAACATTGGCAGTGGTCTCATCACCTACTTCCCACTTCACAGCTTTCCTCAAAAGATTCCTGGTGTTCAAAATGCCACTCCAAACATGAGATGCATTTCTCTCTCTTTTCCAGTTATGAAATGAAGTGTTATGTAAGTATTTCTTATGAAGAAGTTCACACCATAATCCACCCTTATTGTTGATGAGATTCCATCACAGTTTAGAGATCAGAGCTAGGTTCTAATCCCTAGCTTTCTTGATCCCTAAACCCCCTTTCTTTTTCATATTGCACACCACATCCTATTTAAGAAGATGGATTTTGTTTTTCTCCATGGTATCACCCCAGAGAAAGTTCCCATTAAGTCTATCAATATCATTGAAAACAGATTTAGGTAAGAGCATGGTTTGTATAGTGTAACTAAAAATAACAGCAGTCACAGATTTTACAAGTGTAGCTCTACCAGCCATGGATAAGGTATTAGTTTTCCACCCAGACAATCTTTTTTGCATTTTACTCAAAATATCATTGAACAACCCTCTATACATTCTACCATGTAACAGGGGCACACCCAAATACTTTCCTAAATTTGTAGAAAAAGGGATCCCACATATAGTACTTAGTTCTCTAGCTCTCCTTCCATCAACATTGGGAGAGATAAAGAGCTTAGACTTATGTGAGTCAAATCTCAGCCTAGAAATACTACAGAATTTATCCATAACCTTTCTAATAGTCTCACAGGTGGCTAAATTAGCCTACCCAAATAGCATAAGATCATCAGCAAAGGGAGATGAGTTAGGATTGGTCCACCTCTAAAAACTTCCACACCTTCCCAGCTTTTTTCCTCAGCTTTGAAACTGATCATATTAGACAATCTTTCAAGACAAAGAACAAACAGATAGGGAGAGAGGGGGTCTCCTTGCCTCCAACCTCTAAGAGGTTCTATTTGTTTGGAGAGTTAGATGGGGGATTGGGATTGGTAGTGAGGTGAGACCCACTAACATTGTGTTTGTTTTGAGAGATGGGAAGGGGATTGATAGTAAGCTCCGGATTAGGATGGGCCTCCCTAAAGGGATTCGAATGGGCCTCCAGGACTTGGTATTAGAAAAATAGTCCGGCATACTATAAATTTTTATTTTTTATTTTATTTTTTACATGTCGGACATTTTTTTTTAACATTAATGTTTAATTTTTTTATATTTTTTATTAAGTAAAAATCATTATTTTATTTGTTTTATTTTTTTCTGGAAATTTTTTATTTTATTTTTATTTTTTTTAAATTTTTTACATGTTGGGTATTTTTTTAAAAACATTAATGTTTAATGTTTTTGCATTTTTTTTTATTTTTTTATTATTTTATATTTATTTTATATAAAAATAATTTAACAATCCCTACACTAACAACCATCATCACAACAAACACAATTTTACTTAATCCCCTCACTAACAATCCCCTCACTATCAATCTGCTCCATTCTACATCTGAATCAAACAGGGCCTTAGAGATTTGAACTCCTTCATAGGTTCACCATCCCAAACGATAGCAGTGCTAACAGAAGTAACACATCACATAAATAAGCTCAATAAAGTTAGCGTCCAAGTTAAATTATGCAACGTATATGTAATGAACTAACCTAGCACCAAATTACTCAAAGAGAATAAATAAATTCATTCCTTATAGGAGGTAGTAACATGCTCGGCATGGTAACCCAATCAAGAGGAGTGTTAGTAATATGACTGAATATATGGAAATATGATTCATAAGTTCCAACAAAAAAGCAGTAGTTTCATGATTGAGTTATTATGTCGGATTATTATTATTTGCGGAGCACAGAATTTGTGCACTATTATTCTGATCACGGAGATGTGGAAGATCAATTATATCGGATTTTTATTATCTGCAGCGTATGGATTTTATGCATTATCATTCTGGACATGGAGGTAATATTATCAGTTATTATGCTACAGAGCATAGATTGTATACATTATGTCGGATTTTTGTTATATGTGGAGCATCAACTTTATTTATTATTATTCTGCAGTGGAAGGAGATCGTTATTTGGTCAAATATGCTAAGATGGAGTCCGCGCTTTATAGATCACGTGGACAAAATGAATTATGCTACCTCTTGATTAAAAATTTTATCTCCTTGCCACATTGATTTGGGCAAAAGATAGATTGACAGGTTTGACCAACTTGAAAAATCTTTGTCGAGCAGGTTTTGCTCGGCAAAGTAGGTTGGCATGTTTGACCAACTTAGAAAATATTTGTCGAATGAGTTTTGCTTGGCAAAGTGGGTTGGCAAGTTTGACCGACTTAGAAAATGTTAGTTGAGCGGGTTTTGCTTGGCGAAGTAGGTTGGCAGGTTTGACTAACTTTGAAAATCTTTGTCGAACGGGTTTTGCTCAGCGAAGTAGGTTGGCGGGTTTGACCAACTTGGAAAATCTTTGTCAAGCTGGTTTTGCTCGACAAAGTAGGTTGGCAAGTTTGACCAACTTTCAAAATCTTTACAAAGTAGGTTAGTGGTTTGTCCAACAATGGGATTCCTTGCCGAATGAATTTTGTTTGCCAATAAGCAAGTTGGTGTTTTGGTAGTTCCTAATGAGATTAGGCATTCTTGGAATAAGTCTTAACAACGTTGAGCATTTTCAGAATAAGTTCTAACGAGATTAGATATTCTTAGAATAAGTCCTAGTAAGGCATTTTCGGAATAAGTCCTAATAAGGTTAGGCATTCTTGGAATAAGTCCTAGCAATGCTAGGCATTTTCAGAATTAGTCCTAACAAGGTTAGGCATTCTTGGAACAAGTTTCAGTAAGGTTAGGCATTTTCGGAATAAGTCCTAACAAAGTTAGGCATTTTGGAATAAATCCTAGCACCCATGTATGCTTCTAGTTAGTTAATATTATACAACTATTTTTATCAGAAAAATAGAAAGCTTTCACTAGGTTCAAAGAGAATGAAAGCTTAAGGGCAATTAAGAAGAAATAAAAATAACCACAATAATTATATGGGTCTAGGCATTGTCACGGGGCATGATTATGGATTATCACATGTATGACAGCTGTTAAATTCTTATCAAATATTGTATTAGTATTTTATGTTATGCAAAATTCATCAGGATATGAAATCTTATCGATATTGAAGTCCTAAACAACCGGAGATTGTTTGGGATAGGACTTCTGGAACATTCAAACTACTTGCAAAGTAAGTCAATAGATATTATAAATAGGCAACACCCTCATGGGTTGAAGTAAACAATTTGTCTTTGTATTGGAGGACTGACTTGGGTGTCAGAGGGCCCCCGGCTACAGATGGGGTATTTTGTCTTACAAATGTCGATCGCGTAGTGGCATTGATCATCTTCTTCGTTAGATTTCTTTATCATTAAATACGATTTTTTATTTTTATTTTCATTTTTAAATGTCCATACAGATATATAGATATAAACCACCAAGAGTAGGAGAGGAGGTAATCGAGCACAAAACCCATATTCAATCCAGTCTACAATCATCCCGAAACCCATTGTATTTCTCTTCATTTCTCGATTTCCTTTGTAATTGGAAGCACAAACTATTTCAAATGGGTTCACTCATTTAATGAAAACCAGTTTTAGGTTTGGGTTTGCTTTGAAATGAGAAGGTTACCACCATTCTCTGTGAAGCCCGAGCTACTCAGTTCGAAGATCAATCCAAAGTCATTAAATCGATGGGTCGTTACATTTTGTGTAATCAAGTTCGATCTCGAGCAAGGTCAACTAATTAAAGAGTGTTTTCCATTTGGGTCTCTCCCACAGGAGGAAGAACTCGAAATCTCTTTGTGTTCTTTCCTAGATTCCATTTCTCAACACTAGAATCGATCTAATATCCATGAGAGAGGAGAAAGAATGAGATCGTAGGTGTGATATATGAGTATGGGTGAGGGACCTTCGGTTATCCTAAAAAAAAAAAAAATTTGTGACATCTTCCATTATTAAAAGTTAGAGAGAAATATTAAACTAAATATCTCAACATTAAAATAAAAAATATTTTTGACATTTTAAAAACAAAAGAAATTAAAAAATAAATAAGGTTTATTTGTTTCTTCTGACCAATCCGAACCCGGTTTTGGTGTACCAGATTCTATGTGCTAACGCATGACATCAGGGCCATGAAACCATGTCTTGTTTCCCAAGTTTTAATCACAACTAACATACACTGGACTCTATTAATCAGATCAGACCCAACCTATCCCTTATTTCTTGACCCCCATCCACAAAACCACAAATATCTTAATCCTCTTCCCAAACAGTCCCTTTCACCTCTTTTGGCATTCGTCGACTCCGCCATCTCCCCAGAACCAAATCATCATCATCATTATCTTACAGCTTCTTCAATCCAACTTCGTCAAAACCCAAATCTCCACAATACTTCACATTCCATATCTTCTTCAATCGAACCCTACCTACATTGTTCTTCATTTTCCCTATTATTAATCCAACAACAAGAAGCTCAAGATTAAGCCTTTCTCTTCATTCTCAATCGAAGCATCATGATCTTTTCCAGGATTGGCCGTTCTTTGTCTCAATCATCTCGCGCAAGAGTCAGCTCTCTCTCTCTCTCTCTCTCATCTATTTCGATTCGTTTTTATATTGATCATTGTTTTGTTTGTGGCAGAATGTGATAAGTGGAGGTAATGGTGCAAGATCGGCTCTTACCAACGGAGCTTTCATTCGAGCTCCGTATGTGGATAGGGATATTAGTCGATTTGATGATAAACTAGGGTTTTTAAGGGGCTATTTAACTTCAATAGGTGCTAACAAGGGCACTTTGTCGAAGCCGTATTTATCTGATTTGAATTACCTCCTTGCGAACCCTAGACTTCGTAGATTTTTCTCAAGTGAAGCTCCCAAAAAGAAGAGTAAGCATTTCAACTGAATTTGTTTTATTATTATCTATTTGCCTTGTTGGGTTTAATAGAAAAACGACCCCTTTTTATTTATTTTTTTGGCAGACTATGAGAATTTCTATCCCAAGGATAAAAAGGAAATCCCAAAAGGAAAGGAGCAAAAATCCGAATCCAAAGGTATGTATGTTAGTCACTTTCTCATTTTAAATTTTTTGTCTTTGCAAATTGTGGATTGAATGTTACATTCTTGTTATTGTTGCTAAATTGGTAATGTCAAATCCCCCATATGTCTGTCTAGAAAAGATGGGAGAGAAACATGATAAATATATATTTAGAACATTTATTGGTTTTCAGGATATTTAAATCTTTGAAGCAATGGGTTGGATTTTTAATTATGTTGTCGGTTGGTTTTATTTTGTTTTACTTAGGAGCTTGTGGGTGGTGAGTCTTTGTTCCTTGGTTTCCCTTTTGTTTTAAATGGTGGAGGGGCTTCAATTCTCTTCCAGACTAATGGGTTGTATTTTTAAAGTTTGTCTACAAAGGCTTCGGGACTTTGTAATAATTTTTTTTTAGTTATCTGTTAATGCCCTCTGGCACAATTATAGGCATTGGCCATTGAGGTAGTTGGAGACCACAGGGGGTGGAGGAGAGAGAGCCAAGGATTCCTTAGGGGGGAGGGAGAGAGAGAGAGAGAGAGGGTGTTGGTGGAGAGCTCTGTATATGCCAAAGGAGAAGGATTATGGATAGATTGTTGCATGCATGGAAGCTCCCTTTTGGGGTGTATTAGTGTAGCTTGGAGTTAGGTATGATCCAATGATCGTGGTATCACATGTCTTGGTCAAGATCCCTCCAATTCACAAGTCCACTGGTGGTCCCAAGTGAGTTTCCTAGGCCTTGCTTCCAACCTAGATAGCAAGCGATGTGCGTGAGTTTTAGAGGCCAAGGCACCACTCGATGGACTACTGGCAAGCTTAACAAACTAAGCAAGTGAGGAAGCTGGCAAGGGTGCACGGGGCAGAGTCTTTTAGATGTCCTGGTGTAGATGCACGATTGGCCCATGTGTTACCTCGCAAGGCTAACACTTGGTGCATGAATCTTGCAAGAGAAGCCATCTAAGGGGTGATGTGGCAGGGCTGGATCCATGTACCTACGCTATCCTCAAGTATACTCATCATGTGGGTTTGTGAACACAGCTCTTAATGATGGAAGGAACCTACTAGGCAGCCATTATATGTCGCTAGCTAGAATAATGGAGTGATTTGCACTAGGGAGATGACAACCATTCATATAAAATGGCTGTAGGGCATTGACACTCGGGGAATTTGTATCTCGTCTCCTAGAGTCCTTAATCATATCTCCAATGTACCCAATTGTTTAATGTTTGAATAATGACTAATGAGTATTACCTTCCTCAGTCTATAGAAAAATCTGCACCATGAACTTTGTATTCACATTACCAATAGTGTTGAATAATTATGAACTATCCATAGAGTTGTAATCATATTATTTACCCTTTGAACCTTGCTTGTTGCCTTAGAATCATGAACACTCTTAAGAAGGTGTTGTTTTAGTGTCAGTTCCAGATATGTGTTGGACACAACTCGACACATGTTGGACGCGCGTCAAAATCTTTTAATACTTTTATAACCAAACACGCTTTAGACACTCAAAAGACATCTGTTTGGCACTTACACACACATAAAATACATCACAAGTCAGAAGAAAATGATTTGGTAGTCAATAATTAAATCTAAACGATTTGAATTTATACATATTAATCTCTTCTCTTTAGGTTTTTAAATTTAGACCTTGTTTGTCATAATCTAAAAAAGTCAAAAAGTCACTATCTTATTTAAGTCACATCATTTTATTTAAGTTACATCACCTCTCTACCACATCACTTCAAACCCAACCCATACTCAACCCATATTTCATAAAAAGTCAAAAAGTACATTTATTTAGATCATCCCAAACCACCCCTTATATATACTTCCAATTTGTTTGTGAATAGAGCCTTCTAATATTGATATTAGTTTCTATTTTGGTCCGCCCTTCTTTTTCTAATATATGGAATGTGAAAACGATTTCTTACTATTTGTTTTCTAAAGATATATGTATAAATGAATCTGTAAAGTAAAAACGAAGAAGTTATTATTTTCATGTGTATATTTCAAAAAATATATTTATTAAGTAAAACTTCATGCTGAATGTTTGTTTAAAAAATGGTTCACCACACTGATTATAATACATAATATCTCACAGCTTTTTGCATATTTTAATTTCTTTATTTTCAGAGGATGCAAACACAGGTGATCATGGCAGTTTTCAGGAAGCTTTCTTGAAGCAATTTCAAAATCTTATCACCCCTATATTAGTGATTGGGCTGTTTCTTTCATCATTTTCATTTGGTCCTCGTGAGCAACAACAGGTAAGTTATATGCTTGAATATATTTCAGGACTTGGTTGTATGGGGCTTTTATAATCATAGACTCATAGTTAGTAGGATATATAGCTGAGTCGCATATTCAAGTTTTTCGTTAATGATTTACATATATATATATATATATATATATGTGTGTGTATATATTGTGGTTGGTTTGCCTTATGTGCAATTTAAATGTAATTAAGATTTTTGTTTTATCTTTTTGGGCCTTAAAACTTTGGAAAATGATTCTTTGCAGATTAGTTTCCAAGAGTTCAAAAACAAGCTCCTGGAACCAGGTTTAGTAGACCATGTAGTTGTTTCGAATAAATCAGTTGCGAAAGTGTATGTAAGGAGCTCACCACGCAATCAAACAAGCAATGATGTCGTAGAGGGACCAGTTGTCCAAGGACCTGCTGATCCAAGCAAGAGCCAATATAAATATTATTTCAATATTGGAAGTGTTGAATCTTTTGAGGAGAAGTTGGAGGAAGCCCAGGAAGCTTTGGGGATAGATCCTCATGATTATGTTCCTGTTACATATACTTCTGAAATGGTTTGGTACCAAGAGTTGATGAGGTTTGCACCGACACTCTTGCTTCTAGGAAGCCTTTGGTTCATGGGGCGGAGAATGCAAGGCGGAATAGGCGTTGGAGGTAGTGGTGGAAAGGGTGCCCGTGGAATATTCAATATAGGAAAAGCCCACGTTACAAAAGTGGATAAGAATGCAAAAAACAAGGTTAGATACCCTTTTTATTATCAAGAATGGTGGTCCTCAGTTATTCTTGTTTATTATGTCAAAAATATTTTTGCAGCACTTTCTTTGTCACTCTACAAACAAAAAGATTACTCAAAAAAAGTTTTCCTTCATTTTCTGTTCATCTAGGTCTATTTCAAAGATGTTGCTGGCTGTGACGAAGCTAAGCAGGAAATCATGGAGTTTGTTCACTTCCTCAAGAACCCTAAAAAATATGAGGAACTGGGGGCAAAAATTCCAAAAGGTGCTCTTTTAGTAGGTCCTCCAGGCACCGGTAAAACTCTTTTGGCAAAAGCAACTGCTGGGGAATCTGGTGTGCCTTTCCTTTCCATTTCGGGATCAGATTTCATGGAGATGTTTGTTGGTGTTGGATCATCTAGGGTCAGAAACTTGTTTCAAGAAGCGAGGCAGTGTGCACCTAGTATAATATTCATTGATGAGATAGATGCTATTGGTCGAGCAAGGGGACGCGGGGGCCTCTCAGGTGCCAATGATGAGCGTGAAAGTACTCTAAACCAGTTGCTTGTAGAAATGGATGGATTCGGAACCACTGCTGGAGTTGTTGTGCTTGCTGGCACAAATAGGCCTGATATTTTAGATAAAGCTCTGTTAAGGCCTGGTCGATTTGATCGACAAATTACCATTGATAAACCTGATATCAAAGGCCGTGAACAGATTTTTCAGATTTATTTGAAGAAGCTCAAACTTGATAATGAACCGTCATATTACTCGCAGAGACTTGCAGCCCTCACTCCTGGATTTGCAGGTGCAGATATTGCAAATGTTTGTAATGAGGCTGCATTAGTTGCTGCAAGGAATGAGGGAACACAGGTCACAATGGAACACTTTGAGGCAGCTATAGATAGGATCATTGGTGGTCTGGAGAAGAAGAACAAGGTAACATTCCTGTATGACATGCATTATATTTTCAATCTAATTTGCTTTACATAGTGTGACTAGTTTTCCTAGAAAGGTAAAAATCAATGTGCTTTCAAGATAACACTTTTTGGTTTTCCACTCTCTCTCTCTCTCTTTTTTTTTTTGAAAGACTATGTAAAGCTTTCTGTTTTGTTTAGCTCTTAATCAAAAAATTTGAGGTAGTTTGGGCATTTTAGGAAGGAACCATGCTGAAAGTATTTATAAACATATGTATATATTCGTTAACATAATTATAATACATATTTCATTTTTTCTTTATTTTTTGGTTATTTATTTTTTGAGACTTCATCTCACACTACTCGTCCCTGAACTTTGGCCATAAGAAATATTTATGGATAAAATACATCATACTTGTATATATCAAATAAAACAAAACTATTAACTACCGAATGGCAATGTCATTTTGCATGGGTCTTTGTTCTTTCTTCCTTGCTTTTTTTTCACTCTCTTCCCTTTTTCAAGTTAGTCATAAAACCTGTTAATACTTGTGTTAAACAGGTGATAAGCAAGCTTGAACGCAGAACTGTAGCTTACCATGAAGCAGGTCATGCTATTGCTGGCTGGTTTTTGGAGCATACAGAACCCTTGTTGAAGGTGACCATAGTTCCTCGTGGTACTGCAGCACTTGGGTTTGCCCAATATGTTCCGAATGAAAATCTTCTCATGACAAAGGAGCAGCTTTTTGACATGACATGTATGACTCTTGGTGGTCGGGCAGCTGAACAGGTAGCTATAATATTTGCCCACTTGTTTCATTTCTTTATCCGTAATATGAAGAAAAAAAATAATAAATAAAAACTACAAGCCAGTTTCTACTCTTTCTTTTAGCATTGTGAAGTGCTCGAAGTTTACTACTTGTTTTGTCAACTATCTCATGGTGTTCTGGGATTTTCTTTGGATGTAGGTTTTGTTGGGGAAAATTTCGACTGGAGCCCAAAACGACTTGGAGAAAGTGACAAAAATGACATATGCCCAAGTAGCAGTTTATGGCTTCAGTGAAAAGGTGGGTCTCCTCTCCTTCCCCCAAAGGGATGATGGATTTGAGATGAACAAGCCTTACAGCAGCAAGATGGGGGCAATTATTGACGGTGAAGTGCGAGAGTGGGTGGCCAAGGCATATGAATCCACGATGCAATTGATAGAGAAACACAAAGAGCAAGTTGCTCAGATTGCTGAGCTGTTGCTGGAAAAAGAAGTCCTTCACCAAGATGATTTGCTCCAAGTTCTGGGTGAAAGGCCATTCAAATCAAGTGAGATGACAAATTATGAGAGATTTAAGCTAGGGTTTCAAGAGGAAGGTGAAAAGGGAGGACAGACCGTGGAGGGTGAGAGCACTGAAAATGATGAGTCATCACCCCTCGAGCCAGAGGTTGTCCCAACATAACTTTTGGGGATCCAGAGGTTGTATATGAAATTAAATGAATTCCCTTTCTTACCATTTTGTCATTAGATTTTTTGAAGTTGATGCGTATCGTAGTTTATTATCCCGTGATTAATACTCCCACTGACATCTGACAACATTGTAATGTAGCAAAGAACTTAGACAGGGCATCTTATGGTGCAGTTGTTGGAGTAAACACATCGGGGTGAGATAGAATAAGTTAAAAAGGAAAGAAAAGGAGGTGATGTAAATTGATTGTGACCTTAATTTTAAAGGTGGTGATCTGATTCTGATATACAAGATTGTGACTCCAAATTTTAAAAGCATTTTTGATTTATTTGATAACATAAACTTGCTTTATGTGGTTGTCCTCAAGTTTGAAATGTTTGCTTTACAATGTTGTTAAAGCTTTTAATAAAGGGTTTGAGACATCAGTGAGAATACCAATAAAACTAATTAAACAACTTTGGCTTCTTAATCTTAATGTCATATTGTGAGCAAATTTAGTGACACGCAGATGTAACTTTTGTAATTGAGTGAGATTTACGCTGTGTTTGGTTGGGGGATTTGGGAAGGGAAATGGAAAGGGAAATGGAAATGAAAGGAAAAGGAGAAAGAATTAATAGAATTTCAAATCCCAACTATGTTTGGTTGTGTTGGTTATAAAATAGAATTGATGTCCTAAAAGGTCTCCAACTTTTTTATTTATTTCTCACCCCCCTTTCTTTTTTCATATATTTTTTATTATAACCAAACATAAATAGGATTACATTTCTCATTCCTTTTCCAAATCCCACCCCAAAAACTCCAACCAAACACAGATTAAGGGGGTGTATGATTTATTTATTTATTTATTTTCTTCCTGTCATTGAAAAAAAAAAAAAAAAAAAAAAAAAAAAAAAAACAAACAAAGAAGAAGAAGAAGAAAGAAACTAATTCAAAATTTATTTTAATGATAAATACAAAATTTTTAGTACTCAGAAAAATTGGTTCTGTTACAACACTTCAATCTGCTAATATGAATTCCTGAATTTGGGATTCAAACTTCAGCTGTGAAGTCAGAAAAATCTCAACAAATTTGGATTCTCACTTTAGCGGTGAAGTTTGATAATCTGTCGTTGGTCATGGAATGAAAAGGCTGGATGATAAAGATGGGGAAAGTGGTTTATTTTCTACTCATACGAAAAACAAAGGGTGATGATGGAAAGTTATTGGAGAGAGTGGATAGTTTTGGCATCATCACCCTGAACATTTGAAACAAGCATTAACAATGATATCAATAGCATTTGGCCTAATTTGGTAATTGGGTTAAAAGTAACTTTTTAACTTTTTAAGATCATATCATCTCTTTACTTTTTTTATACATTTTAAAATAAAAAAAAATCCTAAAAAAATCAAAAAAATCAAAAAACTGATTTTTATCTACTTCCCAAAATAATATTAAGTCCATGGACACTACCATAAACAGATGTGATTGTTCTATTAAGAGATTTCTCTCTGGCAATGGATTACATAGGGGTGATTTGAAAAATTAGTAAAAAATTGACTTTTTGACTTTTATAGTGACTTTTTAAGTTCCCAAATTGCTCCTTATTCAGTCCTTCACCTGTGGTATATCATCAAACTGGAAATCAAAGAGTTGCAGTAAAATTTAGTGGCTTTTATTACATATATATGCATGTTACATTAGCATCGGTTGCCATAATGATTGATGCATCTAATTGCTCTTAGAATTGATCGATTGCATTCACAAAAATGGCTTCAACAACAAATTCATGTCAAACAAAGAAAAAGACAAATCCACTCAAAAAGCTAATATTTGTCCATATAGAGAAGAATGGAGAACAATTCCACACAGATATGGAAGAGCCAAATCTGTCAAAAGACATTTATTAATTCAATGCAAATGATTAAATACCAAAAGGACCTATACTTTATAATTGTTAATGTGCATCATAATATTTTGAATTTTGATAAATACATCCTAGCTGCAAAAGCTTGAAAACGGTAGCTAGGAGTCTGGAGGATTAGGCTCAGCCTTCCATCACTGCATTGATTCTTGTCCGTCACATATTTCAAAAAGGAATGTGAGATCTAAAATTAATATATATATATATATCGGCATCAGCGTTTCAGTGAATACTTCTTGCCAGTGAATGCCTGGAACTTAGGTTCTTCTGCCTGCTGTGATAATTCTTGACTGCTTTCTTTTGGAGTAGCCTAAAAATTAAAAGAAAATGCAATCAGTTAAATTCAAATCATAATGCTAAATTAACCATTAATCACAACTTTACCCGTCCAAATTAGAATTCACAACATAGCTATAAAAGAAAATAGGGGCATCTGGCCAACTAAGACATACTTTTGGTGTTGCATTTGGAGCTTGATCCACATTCGAACCAAAAACAAGCTTCCCACGATGCTGGCGGGAAGAGCTAGTAGACACAGAGCCATTAGTCCCATCGGTAGCCTTTGATTGGTGCTGTTTGAGCATGGGAGAGGAAACGGGTGCATGCGACTGCACTGAAGGTTTTCCATCCAATCGTCTAGCCGAGCCAGTGAATGCATTGAATTTGGGTATCTTTTTGGCTGGCTCTTCTTCTTGAACTGAAAAGATTGAAGATTTGCATTCAATTGTAAGAAGGAATCATTTTCACGTCAATGACACATAGTAAAGATCAAAGTTCAGATATCAAAAAAAAAATTACCTTCTGGTGGTGTCTTGTTTGACGGGGTAGAAGGAGCAGGTTTTTCAGGTTCTTTATAATCAAGAGGAGGGGCAAAGTCCACCTCACAGTCTGTTTCAATGATACTTATTGCAGGGGAAGGTTTTGTCTCTACTATATCAATGTAGTATCTCTTGTTGTTATAAGCAACCATGATGGTGTCGCCAGAAGTCAAACAAGAATAGTTCCTAAGTGTTGTCTCAAGGCTGCAAAACATAAAGAAATCAATAAAATAACCATAAAGAAAACAATCAAGCGGATTGTTGCTAAAAAGAAACTGACATAGCTTTCGGGTTGGATAAATCCAAGAAGTCCTTGGTGTGGGGTTGCAGCTTCACGAAAGTTCCCTTTGACAAGCTGGCATTCTTGACATGCACAATGTCTCCCTCTTGTAAGAGCATGTTTTCCATCATCTGAAAGCATAAAGCATGCACAATAAATAGAAATTGAAAAAAGAAAGAAAAAAGAGGCAGTGAATAAGCAGCATGACGCAGTAATATGTTGACACTCATGAGACAAAAGCCTACCCAGTATGGTAAGTATATGAGGCCCTCATCAGCAATGAATTCTAGCACCCCACAATGAGAAACTCTTCCAGCAGAAGGGTTATTGAGTTCAAATAACATTGGATAGTCGATTTGTAAATAAGCTGCACAGAAAAATTATGTCTCCCAATTAGAGTAGTGATGTGTAGACAGTAGACCCTAATAAAAAAACTCAAATTATGCATTAGAATGTGGACAAACTGCAAAGAAAGGAATTATGCAGAGAAATATCTACTTACCAAGACGATCAAGAGCTGAGGGAGGCATTATGACTGAAAGCAGTATCAAATTGCGTTAGAGAATGGAATGCATAATTTATTTCTAATATCTAATAAAAAAGAAAAGAATATAAAAGCCAATATGGAAGACATCAGTTAAGCAGTTAAACATACTTTTATCACCCTTCTCCAGATGTGACTGCAAAGATTCAAAATAAAGAAAACAAACGAAAAAGAAAGAAAAATTAGAGAACTGAAATACAAAATCCAAAAATAGCAATCAAGAGAATCAAAACAACACAACAAAATGGTATAGCACTTAATCTAAAGGTAATATTCCTCCATACATACTCAAAATGTCATTATGAAAAATGGGATGGATTGATGAAGAATTTTTTTGTATTCCTTCCAAACAAATTGCTTTGGCAGGTAAAGGCTGAGGGAAACTACTTTACCTTTTCAATAAAAGAGACAGGATAACAACGGTAACTCTGTTCAAAGGTTGAACCGTGGAAGTTGTAGCCTTCTTGATACTGAAATCATTGAAATAACAGTAAAACTAGTCAATTTAACTCCACGATAAACATTAGACCTTCTCTTAACCACCTGAAAAGTTCACTCTCTACCCAAGGCTTAAAATTGATCCCATACAACATATATTAATTGATTGGGCTCAACCCACTCTATTGAAAGTGGGCATTGTTTTCCCCTTTAAACCCTAGCTCCTCCCATCCACTTTGGCCAGCCAAAAAAAGCCAAGGGTGGGGTGATTGAGGTTTGTTGAGTTGAGAAAGTCACAAACAATTGAACTAAAATCTTCTATGCTCAAATCTCAAATCCTCATCCACCTCAAACAACATTAACCCTACTTCATATTTCAATTTACATTGGAATTGAGCAGTCAAATATCTCAAGTTTAAACTTTAAAGTGAACATAACCAAATTAAATTGCCCATCCAAACATGGTTTTGAAAAGAAAAAACTATCAACGAAAAATAAAAAATAAAATAAAAATAAATTATCGGTCACTAAACATACCATGATGGCAGAGTATGAGAGACAGCAAACCCACTAGAAAAATCACAAAAAATCTGCGACAACAGCAACAGAAAACCCATGTCAATTGAAAACACAAAACCCAAATAACAGAATGATAAAGCAAAAACACAAAAAGAACAAAAGGGTTGAGTTTTTATTTTAGATCAAAGAAACAACATTATTATCATCAACCCATGAAAATTTATACATACAAGAAGAGAAAGCAAAAACTGACTAGAAAAACAACAGACACAGAAAGGCAATACATCACACACACACACACACATATAATATCTGTTGAAAAATAAAATTGAGGGTCTGATGAGAAAGTGGAATTGAACCTTGGGGATTCGGAATGGAGAGGATCTCTATTGTCAAATGTGTTATGGGTCAAACCTAAATTAGGACATACAAATTTGAACCTCTCTCTCTCTCTCTCTCTCTCTCTCTGCGTGCGAGACTCTGCGAGACGTAAAACACCCGGGTGCTGGATCATCTTATATAGAAGTGTTTATATGGTGGGGGGTTTTGGACATTTCACAGTTCGTTTGGGTTAGGTTTGTTTAATGGCTTTTTTGGCTTTGGTATATATAGCTTTAAAAATAAAATAAATGGGTCACATTTTGTTTTTAGAATTTTATTTTTTAATTTTTAGTTATTATTATTTTTAAATTATGCCTGTCAAATTTTTTACTTTTCACAACATTAATTTAAGAAGTTAAAAAAAAAATTAGAAAGTTACTAAAGATTTTTTTAACCTTTTCAGCCCATCTAATTGCGTAGAATTCGAAGTGCAAAGTTTTTTTATTTGTAGAATTCGAATGCAAAGTGTTTTGATTTATACTTAAAAAAACCTAACTCTAAATTAGGGCCGTCAATGGATCGGATTTAATCCAAATCTAACCTGAATATGATCCGATAATCCGAATCCGTTTATAAAAAATCCGAGCCGATAATCCGAATCCGTTTAATCCATTTATTAAACGGATTGAATCTGCAAAAATCCGACCGACCCGATAATCTGATAATCCGATCCGATTATTCTCAATTTGAATGAAAAAAACATAAAATGAAAAAAAAATTCAAATTATATAAAATTGTAGCTCAATAAATAAATAAATGGATCGGATCAGATTATCGGATCGGATATCCGAAATCATCAGATTCGGATTCGGATTCGGATATTTATAATCGGATATAGACTCAACGAATTCGGATCGGATTCGGGTTTAACTTAATCGGATCGGATTTGGATTTTGACAGATCCGATCCGAATCCAATCCATTTACAGGCCTACTCCAAACACTTACTTGAAAGCTAAAAAAGTTGATGTACTTGAAAAATTGTTAAAATTTACTCTTTTGTCAAAGAAAAAAATTTAAAGTGACATTTAATTTTTTTAAGTAATAATAAACGACTTGTGAACTTTTAAATATTTTTAATAGAAGTTAATGCTTTTATAATGTTATAAAACGCGATCTCACATGACAAATCTTATACTGGAAGACAAAATAGTTAGGTAAAGTAAGAAATAAATATATATATATATATATATATATATTTTATATTATTATATAAAATGTAGAGTTGATATACCTTATAATTCTTTATTTTGAAATTATTTTTATATAATTATCATTTTAAAATTTATGACTTCTGAATTTTTAAAAACACACCCATTATATAGCTATGCATATTATTTTTGGGGTACAAACATATATATAAATATATAAGTGTGGTGAGAAATTTAAAATATATTTTCTATCTAAAATAGAGATAGCAGCTTATATGTGCACCTTTCTTGTGCGACAATACTTCTAATATAAAAATAGGAGTAGATCTTATAATAGAACGTAAGACTCACCACCATCTACGTAAAATAGTAGGAATTTTTATTGATAAGTCCAATTTAGAAGTGTTTTAACTCAAGAAGTTCATGAAGGAATTTTTTAACCCATAAATGGAACATAAGTAGATGAAAAGGGTATTTTAGTCTTCTTATCTCAAATTGGACCTAATGGAATAGTCAAAAAGAATATGGGTTGGATGGAATAAAACTCTTAGAAAATGGATTTATCAAAAAAGCTCCCAAAATAGTATAATATATTACATTAAATTAGGACGTAATCACTGATGCATTTTATATATTAATTTAAATAAATATTTTATATTTTTCACCCTAAATTATAAATATTTTTTACACCATTAATGGCGAAATTTGACCATAATTCCCTCATAACTTTATTTTCTTGTTGAAAGGACAAAAAATTTTTGGTACTTTCAAAACTCCCTCACAATTATAAAGTCTTGTATGAAGGATAAAATTTGTTATTTGAATATTTTATTTAATCATTATACCTTATCTTTCTTCTCTTTCTTTTACAACACTCTCTCTCTCTTCACCAACTCGATGGTTGTTCGTCACCTCCACCATCTTCATCGTCTACTGACGTTGTTCATTTTCACCGTCGGCCAACAATTACCATTTTTACCGTCAAACCACCACCGTCTCAAATTTGATACCTACAAACTCATATTTAAGATCAATAACTTTAGATTTGAGATTAAATAATAATAAAAAAAAAAACTTAGATTTGATAGAAAAATGAGAAATCAAGATGTTGCAATAAAAAATCAAGAATTTTTTTGTTTGTTTATTCATATATTTAAAAATAAAATTTGACTCTGGTTCATTTATTTGTACTCTATTTTTTGTAATAGTAAATTTTTATTCTAATTAATATGTTGATTTGCTTAATAACAGTAAAATTTTACTTTGAATCATAATAAATTTTACTCTGATTCAGAGTAAAATTTTACTCTTTTTTTTTATTGCAAAGTAAAATTAATTCTGAGTAAAATTTTACTCTTTTTTTTGTATTGCAAAGTAAAATTAATTCAGAGTAAAATTTTACTCTGAAACAAGCTGTGATGATGGCTTTATAGGAGAGTGTTGTATCATGAATCAGAGTAAAATTTTATTGTTCGAAGAACAAAGCATCATGAGAAGAAGAAAGAGAAATAGGGAGACATAGTTCAAAAATAGAGAATCATGAGAAGATGAAGAAGAAGAAGAAAAAGAGAGAGAGAAATGATGAGTGATACAAACACACATAGAGAGAGCATGAACCATTAGAAAGATCTCAGGTTTGCAAATCATCATGAATCGTCATTTTTCGGCGACGACGACTGTAAATGATCTCAGATCTCAGATTATGGACGTGACGAGTAACGATAGCAATGAAGACGGTAGAGAAAGAGTTCCACGGTGAGCACCGGTGGAGAGCGGTGATGGCGCCGATGAAAAGCAACAGTGATAAGAGCGAGACAGAGAAAAGAGAGATTGAGATGAGAAAGAGTAATTGTAATTTGATACACACACATATTTATATGTATATATATATATATTAGGATATTATAGTAAAAGAAACAAGTTTTAAAATATTATGAAATTTTGAAAGAATCTATACAATTCTTGTCAGTTTAAAAGACAAATTAGATACTGAGAGGTCTATCACCAAATTCCTCTCTTTAATGTTTTATTTATATTTTTTTTGACTTTTTAATTAATCTATAACAATATCTATATAAATGACTTTGACTGCAAACTTTCTTACGGGTTTTGGGTGGCTATTGTGCATCCAGGACCATTATAATATTGTAACTGTTTATATTTTAAAGTGTATAAAGTAGAATATACTTATATAAATAACAAAAATGATTGAGACTTCCTTTTTTTAGAGACCTCCCCAATCTCATTTAGATTTCAACCATTGATGGTGTGGGCCTCATACATACATGAGTGGATTCTACATATACATCAATGGTTGAGATCTAAAGGAGGTTGTAGGGGTCTACAAAAAAAAGGGAGTCCCAACGTTTTTCTAAAAATAAAGTTGATAGGATATTAATAGTTTTTTTTATCAAATCACATTTGTATATAAAAAAAATGAATGGTAAGTGTAATTTAAAACATAAAACTAAATATTAATGTGATTTAATGAAAAAAAAATTAATATTCAATTAATTTAATTTTTTTATGAATATATTTTACTTGATATATTTTAAAATATATATTAAAAAAAAAAACACATAATAGTAGTTATTGCTCACTGTCACCCCAAACCCCTACTTTTTACTAATTGAATTGATAGCAACTAATAAAGCATATCAAAAGGTCATGTCCATTAGAGTATCTTTAATATTGTTAAAAGCATTTATAATGAAATAGTTAAAATTATTTATTAAAATATATTATAGAATAAAAAATAATAAAAATATGTTTTAAAAATTTGTATTAAGATGTGTTAAAAATTTGTTAATTTCAAAAAGTGAGTGATGGTACAATAAATATGATAAAATATGTGTTAAATGTGTATATATATATAAATAATAAATAAAATAAATAAATAGCTTCCTACAGGTTTTCTTCTTCTTCAGTTGAGAATATATTTATATATATATGACCATGTTTCAACAGTTTCAAAGCTTTTCTACAGCTCTTCTTTAGAGCTCCGTCTCTCTCACTCTCTCTCTCAAATCGACGCAGACAGCAAATGTTCTTTTTTTTCACTGCAAATTTCAGAGCTCTTCTTAACTGCAAATTTTTATTTATTTATTTATTTTACTTGAAGGGTCGGACGTTCAGGGAATGATCGGCCGAACATTTGGTCAGACGACCCCACGACACTTCTCACGTCCCCTTTTCTTTTCCTCTCGCTAGCTAAAATGCTAGCTGCAGTTAACACACAATACTAACAACAAACACTAACACAACATTTAGCTAGTTCATTACAGTACAAAATAATGTTTTGAACTGGTCAAAAATTAGCAACTGACACTAACACAACATTTAGTTAATCCATTACTGATGCTCTAACCATTTTAGCTAGCCAAAGATACTATTTGGCATCTTTTGTAAAAGTGTATTTCTTACTCTTCTCTTCTCCTTTCCTTTTTTTTTTAAAGATTACATCATTTTTATATTTTTTGTAAAAAATTAAAAAATATATTTATTTAGAACATTTCAAACACCCTTTAAAGTATATTAAAAAATATCTATCTCTTTAGCTAATTACTTTTTGTATTATGTTATTCAACAATGCTTCTTATTTTAGTTAGTCACTCTCAATAATTACATATCTTTTAAATTTGCACTTTAAAAATAGAGGAAAAAGATGAAGAGAGAGATTTGAAAATGAAGAGAGAAAAAAATAGTCTTTTAAGTTTAGATAATCTAATAGAGAGATGAAATTATCTAGTAAGTTAGAAAGATCAAGTATTTATGTGTCCGACCAATAATATATTGTGATTTTTTTACCATCATCTTGTAATTAAAGACATGTATTTATTTAACCCTGATATTAG